CCGTCCCGCTCATACCAATCGATACTTTTTAGGTGGGTCGTGTGGTTACGAGTAACTTACCCGGGTTTCTTAAACGTTTCCGGTATTCTGGTGAACGCCATTGGAGTAATTGTTGCCTTTGTGCCGGAAGGGATGCCCGTGGCCGTCACATTGTGCCTAACATTGATCGCCAAGCGCTCTTATCGTCAAAAAATTCTGTGCAAAACACTGCCGGTGGTGGAGACCCTTGGATGTGTGTCTGTGATATGCTCGGTAAGTAAAAAGAGGATAGGATTATTAAACTTGATGATGATTCTTTGGCGATCAACGTTGAGTAAATAAATAAGTAAACGCATTTTTTTTTTTTTTTTTTTTTTTAATTGACAACAACAGGACAAGACCGGCACGCTGACGGAGAACAGAATGTTTGTAAATAATGTTGGCCTTGTCACCATGGAGATGGAAATCCAAGATTGCAAGGACGCATTGAGATCTGATGGTCCGGAAAAAAAGGTCATCCGAATTCTCCAATTGGCTTCTTGTCTATGCAATGCCGCGATGTTTGATCCCACTTCGATGTCACTCCCGGTTTATGAGAGAGTCGTGAATGGTGATTCTACGGACACCGGTCTGCTCCGTTTTGCCGAGGATTTGAGGGGTAAGTAATGTGGATGCGCGCAATTCAAGGAATCGCCACCACATCACGTTCATTGACGTCGACTTTTTTTTTTTTTATAACAAAAAAGAATCTACTTCTACCGATCGCCTTGAATTTAAAACCATTTATCAAATTCCGTTCAATTCCAAAAACAAATTTGCAATTACGATTCATCGTTCCACGAGCGAAAATGCCGACAACGATCTAGAGACATCCGAGGTCATCCTTTTTTGTAAAGGTGCACCCGAAATATTGCTGGAAAAGTGCACCTCTTACCTTCATCCGGATGGCACGGAGAGACAACTTGATCCGGAAAGCAGGAACCTGGTTTCGGCCATGCAAAACTCGTGGTCAAGTAAAGGCCGTCGCGTGCTTCTGTTAACGAAAAGAATCATTCCCTCACAGGTCTTTCCCGGAAATGCTTCGAGTGATATCGAAATGAACGATTTGGCCTTGTCGTTTAATAAGAATCTGTGCATTATTGGTTTGGTGGGAATTGTTGGTAAGGATTCTTCTTGGATGCACGTGAACGAGTTTCGTTTCTCCATCTGATTTCCATTCATATCTTAGATCCCCCTCGCGCAGAAATTCCTGAAGTCGTCAGACGATGTCGTAGGGCGGGAGTTAGGATTTTCATGGTCACCGGCGATTTCACATTGACGGCGGAGGCGATAGCCAGGCAGTGCGGAATTCTTACCTCTGGTAAAGTGGATAAGATTAATGATATAGTTCGAATGGAAAAGGAAGGGTTCGTGCTCCAACGGGATTTGGATTCGGAGCGGGACGACTACCAAGAAAATATCAATTCGCTTGTTCTAAACGGAAAAGACCTCTCCGTTGGAAAATTGACACCAAAGCATTGGGACATCATTGCGAATTATTCCGAAATCGTCTTCGCCAGGACGACTCCGGAACAGAAGTTGAAGATCGTGACCGAACTTCAAAAGCGGGATAACGTTGTGGGGGTAACTGGTGACGGTGTAAATGACGCTCCAGCATTGAAACAAGCGAATATCGGAATTGCCATGGGTCTAGGCTCGGATTTGGCTGTTGCGGCGGGTGACATGGTCTTGC